GTGTGGGCATCACTGTAAAGCCAGGCCATAGTTCCTTTTGGTGACCTCTGGCCTTATTTTTGGAGCACCTGGTGGAGCCCAGGATATTTAACACATTTGACCTTTGGTTTAGGTGCCTAGACAGCAGTCAGGAGCAAGTGCTCTGAGTCTGATCCAACAGACATACCTACTTGGAGTGTCTCCAAAAAAAGAACCCCTTAAAGATCGGAAACAAAAGACGTTTCATAGACTAATCCAGCAATTTTGGAGATGAGGGACTGCCTGTCATCATCAAAGTCAAACTGCCAAAGCACCACTGAGATTCTGCTGTGACTCAGGAGCCCGGGTGTCCAGAGGCAGGACCGGCTGGAAGCAGGGCTCCCACCTGGATGTGATCGCTGGGGGAAGGAGCTCACAGGACGGCTCCCCAAGACGGATGGGGGCTCTCACGGGGTCCCTCATGTCACCCACTCATCTTTAAGGAGACCAGGACAGAACATAGTGAAGGCCACTTAGCTCAGATTCCAGAAGGCAAATATAGGCTCAACGCATTGCCAGGTTCAGAGAAGGTCTCAGTCAAGCCTCTGGCACTCCACTCTGAGAAGGCCACCATGGACCACCGTGGAAATGACCAGCAGGGTCCCCCTGAGCATGTGAGTGAGCGCAGTGCTCAGACAGTGGGCTCAGTGGTTGGGAATACATGCTCTAGCTCCTGGTCCTTAACATCCCAGTTTTGGCTCAGGTTGACTCCGCTAAGAGGTGGACCTGGAACTCCAGTTACGGAACTGTATCAGCTTCAGGATCTATTACTTCTCCTTATTTAACACATGTAGCTGCACAATAATGAGACAATTCTGCAGCTAAGGAGTAGCAAATGATATTTATTTTCCAGGCTTACAAACTCAAGCTCTTGCAAGCTTTAAAACTTATTTTAAAGCTTGCAAGAGGAAATTTTTGGTTTCAAAATAGATGTGCTTACAATATCTCTTATTCCTTGTCATACTTGGGAACGTCAGACAAATAGCAGCCCACGTGTAATCCGCACTAAAGCTGGTGTGGGCTGTGTTGTGACTGAACGGCATGCTGCTGGTCATGACAACAGAATGCCCCCTGGCAGGTGGCCTGAGCCTTGCCTGGCACTGATGGAAGGTGGCATATACGCCTCACTGGGTCAGTCTGATATGGATACACACATGCAGGCCTGCATTTTTAAAAAGCTCTGCTCAATAAACCCTTCTTAATGAAAATGTAGCTCTGCACTTCTGGGGTTACACAGTGCCCTCCTTCTCAGGTTCAAAATGAGGAACATGGTCAGAGAGGGGAAGTGACATGTTCAAGAGTCGTTGGCAGAAGCAGGAGAAGCCCCCCTGTCTACACCCCCTGTGATCCCAGGGCTCCTGCCACGCTCGTTGGCAGTTCATTTCAGCTTTGTGAAGGGCCTGGTGAAGTGTGCTATGATCGAAAGCTCTTGTTCTGGGTATTTTGATGCTGAAAAGCCATCCTATGAAATCTGCTCCATTAAAATCACCACCTCCTTCCGGAGTGGGTGTATTACATACAATTTTGGACTACAGGTAAACTGGGACAAGTCAGGAGGAGAGATGGTGGGGTGGAAGCTTAGAAATGCCGTCACCCAAAGAAGGGTCGAAGGAGCTGGAATAGTCAGCCTGGAGAATTCTTGGCGGAGAAAGGGCAGATGCTTTTAAATACGTAAAGGTAGCTCATGTGGAGGAAAAATCAGACTTATTCTGTATGGCCCAAGATGTAAACTACCACCCATGCATGGAAACTACCAGAAGGCTTTTCCAGCACAGCAGCCCCAGGAAGGACTGCCTTGGGAGGTGATGAGCCTCCCATCACTGGGCGTGTTCAAGCACTGGGTAACCTGTGGATGCTGCAGAAGATATTCACATCAGACAACCTTTCAAGTTCCTTGCAATTCCAAGCATCAGATTCTCTTCAAAGGTATCTCAAAAATTCCAAACTAAACCAATAGATTTAAAAACCACCCGTATTGCTTCCCAAAGTTCTTTCATGCAAAATGAAATAAAGGGGAGTAGAACTTTGGCACCACGTATACTCCATGGCTAGAAAGTCTGAAGGAATAGAGCTATGAGCTGCACCTAAGCCATCAGAAATGCACAGCGGCACCATGAGGAACAAGATAACCACGTGCCTTCCATGGTCCTCAAGTGTGTTCATTTTTTGATCACAGGAATTCATAAATGTATAGTAATATTACTTATGGTCACTTTCTATAATACCAGTGATACTGGTTTCCCTTTATGATGGTGATACAAAGCCTCCTTTTAAAATAATTATGCTTCCATGTAAAAATGAGTGCAGTTGAGGGAAAACACCAAAGTAACTTTACGGTGGTGCATGGCTGGGTCAGTAAGAAGTTGGTGCCAGAATGACTCGGGTTTGGGAAACACAGCCTTATTCCAACCGGCGAAAATCTCAAAATCATGTGAAGCTCCAATGCCTCTTGCCTGAATATTTCTACTTTGTAAGCTTTGGTGGCATGCTTGCTAATTTAGCAGATTCTAAGCCTTGTGCTCGATGCTCCATTAATCCCTACCCACAGCCTGGCGCCAGACGCACGCGGAGTGTTTAGTGATGATCAGTTCTTTCACACTTCCTCTGCCGGGCTTAGTCCTTTGCTTGCTTGCATGTGCAAAATAAGGTTTTTCTTTTTTTCAAATGCTTGTAATTACACTGGAACTCCAGAATAAATAGCAAAGGAGAGTTCTTTCTCCTTCCTTCTTTCTTAAGCACATGGAGAGATGCAGCAGCGTTAGGCCTTCAGAGCGCGGACCACCAGCGGAGAGGAGCCGATGTCCCTTCATCCCAGAGCTCGGGGGAGGGTCTCAGGGCTCTCCCAGCGCCTCTACCCCGTGGGGGAGGGCGAGGGTTACCTCTGCTCATGGATGCAGATACAGCGGTGACCTACGATCATAACCCACAGAGCTGATTTCAGTACTTCTGCCGATTCTACCCTGTTTCCAACAGTCCCAGGAAGCCTGCGGGTCTGCAAATTGGGGGCGCCCCCAGGGTGGGGCCTCGCGCCTGGCGGGCTTTCCAGGACGCCGCCCCTTTCTGTCGCCCAAGTGCGGGAGCCCCGCGCACTCAGGAGCCGCACGACCCCCAACCGGCTCCCGCGCGCAGCTTCCACCCCGACCGCAGCCAGACACGCTGGCTCCTCGATGGGACCCGGACGCGGTGAAGCGCCGCGCACCCCTTAAGTAGCCGATCCTTGGCGGGGGCGGGGATATGAATATGAATATGCATATGCAACACCACCTCCCCTGCATGCCATTGGACAGGCGGCTCCTTAATATCCATGACGCTTTGCGGGTCTCCCGGGCACTCCGACGCCTCGCGAGACCTAGGGGCGGGCCTCACGAGGCCAAGCCCCCTCTGATTGGTTGTCCTTAGAGGGGAGGTGGCCTTCGATTGGCTGCTGTAAAGTGGTGACGCGTTCCATCACATGGGCGGGAGATTTGAATGCCCATTTTCTGGGTTTCGGGCTGTGAGGACGACGACCTGTCCGTATTTCTCCCCTACTGGGTAATTCCTTTATTTTCTACCTGTGAGTGCGTCACCAGGATTACAGCCCTAGCGCACATATCCCGAGCGTTGTCCTCTCATTCCATAGCCGGACAAGCTGCTCCCGACCCCCGACCCTCCCGGCCGCAGCCGCGGCCGCAGCCGCCCCGGCCTCTCGCACCTCCTCCCGCGGCGCCGGGTTGGTGGTCCCGTGTCCAGGCCCAATCCGCTGAGCACCAGGAGCGCCGCGGCAGGGCCAGGGCTAGGCGCAGGGCCCCGCCCCCAGGCTCGGGGCCATGATCGCTGTCCCCTGCCTGGTGTCCCCCGCGGGAGTGGGAGGTGGGGGCCGCCGTGCCCCCAGTTTATCTCCCCGGCTGCCGCGAGGCCGCAGGGTCGCGCCTGCGCAGAGACGCGCGGCCGCGGCCCCGCCCCCTTCGCCTGGGTGACGCGTCGCCGGTTGCCACGGAGACGCGCCGATTACCTGGTGGTTCTGCCCGAGCCGCTGGCGAACGTGTGGTCCGTCGGTCCCGCAGGCGCCGCGGTGAGTGCAGGCCGCCCAACCTCCGGCCCCGGCCTGGACCCCGTCCCAGCCCCCGCCGGCCTCCTCTCCATCTCCCCGGGGGCTGCTCGGGTGCATTTTGAGCCCGCACCCGGAGGGACCCTGGGAGCTGTGGGAAGGTGGGGGCCCTGAGGGCCGTGGGCGGGCAGCTGTCCCCGGGGGGCTTAGTGCAGAGCAGGGGCGGTGGTGGTGCGGAGCAGGGGCAGTGGTGGTGGGGAGCAGGTGGGCACGCCCCTCCCTCCCCCCGCCCCTGCAGGCCACCTTCTGGCTTTTCTTTGTCCCGCGGCGGGCTCATATCACCTGCTGAGTGGGCCCCATACCCAGCTCTGAGTGTACAGATGCCACGGGTGTTCATCTGTTCAGGAAATGTGGCTGGTTCCTCCGTCTGCAGAATGTCCTAAAAATGAACACTGCCTAGGCCCAGCCATTCTGATGAATCATAAAAATGTGTGCTTGTGGTCACCAAAAGACACATGTGAGAATAGCACCGCCCCAGAACCCAAATACCCATACAAAGGAGAAGAGACAGGGGAGCGGGGTGTAGTCACAGTGTCCCGCAAAGAGACCCCAAAACCCGAAGACCGTGGCTCTATGGGTGATGGGGACGAATCTTACAGACATAATGTTGAATGGAGGGGTCAGATATAAGAGTACACACTGGGCGATTCCATTTACACAGAGTCTGGAAATACCAAAACTAATTCCTAGTGGTCGCACCGTGGGAGCGCAGGTGGAGGGCACTGACCAGAAGGGAGCCGAGGTGCCGGCTACACAGATGGGTTCATTTTGTGTACAGATGATGGTTTATGCACCTTTGGGTATGTATATCACACTTGAGTAAAAACAGACATAAAAAAAGACCAGTTGCTTTCGGTGAAACTAAACAAATGTCTGTCTTTGTGACCAGGACTTTGGAAAACCGACATGGCCAAACTACTACAACCTCCACCCAAGTTCTTGCCCTCAGAGTGGCACATCGCTAACAAGAACCAGTACCACAGAGCGGAGGCCCAGAGGTCGCGGTCCGAACGCCTGGTGGCAGAGAGCCAGAGGCTTGTGGACGAGATTGAAAAGACCACCAGGAAGTCTCAAAGGGATGTAGAAAAGAAACTAGGTAAAATGCCCCACTTGCTACATTTGCGCCCCAGCCCAGATGCCACGGTGAGGTGTAGCCACGCTGCCGTCTGTGTTCCGTGGTCAGGAGGGGCAATGGAGTATCTTGAAGTACTGGGGGAAAACGTGTGTTTGTCAGGTTCTGTCTTTAAGCTCACTGCCCTAAGACAGAGGATGGTAACCCAGCCTGCTTTCCAGCCTCCATCATTCGTTTTCTTACGGATTTGATGCACTTACTGAGCATCTAAGAGATGCCTGGGCTGCCCGGTCTCTCTGGACAATGAAGTGCAAACCCAGACCCTGCAGAAAGAGGTCCCAGTTAGCACGCTAGCCTTGTAGCCTCAAATATAATCAGGTGAGGGTCAGAGGCATTTGAGGAGCGCCTCTAGCATGACAGACACCGGGACAGACAGACAGACACACAAGGCAAAGAAAAAAAATATGCCATAAAATATTCAGGAAATTTGGAGAAGACACTGCATCTAGGAAACAAGAGAACCTTGAAAAAGAAAACTCAGGGAATAAGAAAGCATCCTTGGGAATTAAAAACATGAGAGCATGTTTGTAAAAATCAAAAGAAGGGTTGAAAGAGAAAGTTGAAGAATCTCCAGGAAGTAGAGAAACAAAGACAAAGAGGTGGATGGATAATAGGAGAGGAAGGGTAAGAATTAGGGGACCCACAGGGAGGCTCCTTCTCTAACAGGGATTCCAGAGGGGCACAGAGAAGAGGAAGAGAGGAAACTGCGGAGGAATCCTAGGAAATCCCCTCGAGCCAAAGGGTCTGTTTCCAGCTTCTGGCATAAGACTGAGTACTGCTGACACTAGGAAAACAGGGAAGAGACCCCCGAAAGGCTTTGGGGTCACACAGAGAATCGGGAATTCTCCACGGGAACTCTGGAGACTAGAGGAAATGAAGCCATGTCATCAAAACTCTAAATGAAAATCACCTACAACCTAGAAATCGAAACGTAACCAAAGTCAAAACAATGAAGGCATTTTCAGACCTGCACGCTTTCACCTTGCGTGCACCCGTCTCTGAGGAGGGCGTGCTTCAGCAGGTGGAGAGGGAGGGAAGGAGCAGGTGGTAGCTAGGAAGGGGGTGGTGGCAGGTGCAGGGTGAGGGGGTTCTGGAAACTGTGACCATCACCAGCGAGCAGGAGGGAGGGCGGGAGGAGAAAGCGCTCCAGGGCAGAGGTCCTGGGAAGAAGCAAACCCAGTGGGTTCCTTTATGGGGCTGAAAATGCTGGGGGGTGTTTATAGTTCTGTTAGAAAGTCCGAGGAAACATTAGTCATGAGTCTCTGGAAAGTGAAATAAAAACATGACTACCAGCCCCTCCAAAAACCAACAGAAAATTGTACATGAGGAGAAATTGTAGTGCACCACACAGCTCAGGTGCAAATAGTGCTTACGCATTTATGGTCTTGTAAACAAGCGCGGAGCTGTTTTGTGACAAAATGGCATGCAGCCCTACGGGGAAGACCGAGGAACAGGAGTGTGTTGTCCGAGAGCAAATCCTGGCTTTCAGTCACAGGAAATTGGTAGATATCGTTTAAACTGATCATGAATAGGGGCACCTGGGTGGCTCAGTCGTTAAGCGTCTGCCTTCGGCTCAGGTCATGATCCCAGAGTCCTGGGATCGAGCCCTGCATCGGGCTCCCTGCTCCGCAGGAGGCCCGCTTCTCCCTCTCCCACTCCCCCTGCTTGTGTTCCCTCTCTTACCGTGTCTCTCTCTGTCAAATAAATAAATAAAATCTTAAAAAAAAAAAATAAACTGATCATGAATAAGTAGCAGTGTGAGCAAATTCCAGGAGAAATTCTGAAAGCATTTAAAAAGTGACTGCTCCCGGGGTGCCCGGGTGGCTCAGTCGGCTGAGCATTGGACTCTTGATGTCGGCTCAGGTCATGATCTCAGGGTCGTGGAATCGAGCCCTGTGTTGGGCTCTGTGCTCAGTGGGGAGTCTGCTTGCGATTCTCTCTCCCTCTGCCCTTCCCTCCCCACCTCTAAAATAAATAAATAAATCTTTAAAAAAAAAATGCACTGCTCCCAGAAAGCAGGAGTGGGTGGGGATGGGTCAGAGAACTGCAACACCGGTGCTGGTTGACTTCTCAAACAACATACGTCTAGATCTTTGATAAAATTAAAAGGTATTAAAAACAGCAGGTGTTAAAGAATTAGAGTCAACCAGCGTGGACGATGTTTGCATTAATTGGGTGTTGACCTTGTAAGAAGAGGTTCCTTCCCTCCCTCCTGCTGCCCCCACCCTGCCATCCCCTAATCAGCACTTACAAGGTGGAAAGGGGTGCCAGGCAGCGAAGAACACGGCTGGGGTAGTTTGAGGATGGTCTTCACGTTTCTGATCCCAGAGCTGGCGGCACCCGGAGTGGACTGACCCACGTGTAACACCGTGTGCTTTCTCTGCGTGCCTCAGAACAGAGACTCGAGGAAGTCCGGTTCTGGAAGAAGGAGCAGGACGACAAGCTCGAGCAGCTGGTGTACGTCACGGAGGACCTGCTCACGTACCAGGCCAGACTGGTGAACGCGCTGGAGAGCATGAAGGAGCCCCTGCATATCACCCAGATGTGCCTGGAATACAGGTGGGAGTCGCTGTCATGTGGGACCCGGTGCTGGGAATAGAATCCATCTGCGCTCGGGGCTGGGTCCCAACGAGGCCGGCGAGCACGTGTTCTCCAGAGCCCGCCGTGCTGGGCAGGGAAGGAGCTTTTCACTACCTTACTTTAAATGTTAAGTTAGGACTAGGTTTGGCTGCAGAGACTCAGAAAACTGTAAAATAACACTGAATTTAAGTAGGGCCGTTCTTTCTCTCTCGGGGTTAGGGAGTCTGGAGGAAGTCAGTGTGGGGCTGGCATGGTGTGGTCTCAGGGCTCTGCCACATGGGTTCACTTCCCCAGGTGACCTCATGACTCCAGATGGCAGCCAGCGCTCCAGCCATTCCATCCATGGTCCAGCAAGTAGGAATAATTAGGGTTTGGTGTTCCCCATTTGCCCGTGCAGCCTATTGACTGGAGCTTAGTCACAGGGCCACACCAGCAGAAATTGGGAACTGGGTGTCTCTATTTTGGACAGGCAGAGTGGGTCCGGTTCCTAGAGGATAAGTCTGTGCCAGTACAGAGACCCTCACGGAAGCACTTTGTAATCCAGAGAGCCGTGTGCAAACATACCTTTTTATCGTCATTTCCCTCCTTCAAGTCCTGTGAGTGGGCGATGTTCTCTGCTCGGGGGAGGCACTCAGGTCCCCACCCGTTCGCGGTCACAGCCCCGACACAGGCCCCTCCACGTCCGGTGCCCGACATGTTGTGAGTGCCCACCCCAGGGGGATGTGGACGTTGCATTGTTATTTCATGGTAGAGCACTTTTCTGGGTTCAAACCCTTGGCAAAAATCAGGACGAGGTCCTGTTTCCAGGAAAGAGACCCATGTCTTCACAATTCTAAGTCAAAAGGACATTTCCAATGAACAGATTAGAAGGAAGAGTCTTCCGGAATCATGGCCAAATGGAGGGGAAGAGTGCATCTGGCATTTTTCTGGCCAGGTGACCAGAGGCCGATGGATCTTGCTTCCCTGGGTTTTGGATATTTTGAAGCCTCCCAGACCCTGACTCATGCCCATCCCCGACCACGCCATCCGGACAGGTCGGCTCATACTCTAACCCATGGTCCAGGTAGCTCTACGAGGCTTGAGCATCCCTGCGTGTGCTCGATGGCCGGCCCCTCCTCTTGGCCAGGGAGAAGCGGGTCGGCATTGACCTGGTGCGCGATGAGGTGGAACACGAGCTTGGGAAGGAGGCCGAGATCATCCGCGGGGTGATGGCTCTGCTGACCCGCACCCTGGAGGAGATGTCCGAGCAGATCAGGTGCAGCTCCCCGCGGCACGTCCAGGAGGAGGCTGTGGGAACCCAGCACGCAGCCTGAGCGCCACGTGACAGCCGCCCACCGGCTGTGGGTGGGGACGGGTGGATTCACCCCGATGGTGAACTGGAGCCCTTTCCTGCCAGGGCTTGGACCGCTCCCATCAGCAGGGTCTGGAAGATCCAGGCCAGTCAGTTAAGCCGTCACCCGGCGTCTGGCGGTGTGTGTGGTGCTGGGGGTGGGCTGGAGGCAAGCAGGTGCCACGTCCCACACCAGACCCGGCGCCGGCTCGGCGCTGGCTTGTTGCCCCCGGGAACCTGTGGGGCTGCCCGGCGCTGCAGTGGGAGACCCCACTCCTCCTTCCTTCAGGCTGAACCGCTCGGCCAGGTACAACCTGGAGAAGGACATGAAGGACAAGTCTGTGGCCCTGACCATCGACGACATCTGCTTCTCCCTCAACAACAACTCCCCGAATATCCACTACTCGGAGAAGGCCGTGAGGGTGGAGCCAAAGTGAGTGGGGCCCCCATCCCTGGCCGTGAGGGTCCGGCCATGGTGAGTGGGGCCCCCGTCCCTGGCCGTGAGGGTCCGGCCACGGTGAGTGGGGCCCCCGTCCCTGGCAGAGGGCAGCCTAAGGGTTATTCTGACGTGGTGCTGAGCAGCCCGTGGTCCTGCTTTGGGAGCGTCTGATGTCAAATCCCTATAAATGGTGAGAATTGGTTTGTCTACCTGTCCTGTTTTCAGATGTCCCGAGGGCAGGCTGATAGTTCCCTGGGCTCCCCTTCCCAGGCACACCCGCAGAGACAACCTGTGTGGGGGCGTGGTCTACATACTTGTAGGAAGGTGCACAATCGCAGCCGTCTGGTCTGACAACTTATCACCACCATCCTTATGTTTGCTGTGTAATCTGTTATCCGAAAAGCAGCAGCTTCATGTGACGTGCACTTATTATCTGGGGTTCCCGCGGGCGCCCTGCTCGCGTCCCTGCTTGCATCCCCTGGTCAGGTCGGGTCAGGTCAGGCTGGGGCAGCCAGACTGCGGGCCCATCTGAGGCTGCACTGACCCCCAACCATGCTGACCAGGCGAGGGGCAGCCTGGTGGGCGAGCCTCTCCTCTGGCCGCGGTGATGCCGGGCACTGGCTTCTCCCACGGCAGGCAGTGGCCCCTCAGAGCGCCCAGGACATGCCAGCCTTGTCTTCCCCTGACCCCAGTGGCATCTCTCACTTGCATTTGTGGGGAGCGACCTGAGTTCAGCCACCACTCGGTGGGGAGATGGCACAGCTGTGCGGACCAGAAGGCGGGTCCCCACCTGGGGTCCCCATGTGTCTGGCACCTGGCCTAGGAGATAAAGCTCGGCCCCAGCACAGATTTCCGGGACCCCCGCTCCTCCACAGCCCAGACACGCTGTGAGGGACTGCGTGGCTTCCCTTGCAGCTCCGTGAGTCTGGAAGACTGGCTGGACTTCTCCAACAGCAACGTGGAGAAGGCCGACAGGCAGAGGAACAACTCGCTGGCGCTGAAGGCCCTGGTGGACCGGATCCTGTCACAGACAGCCAATGACCTGCGTAGGCAGTGCGACGTGGTAGACACGGTGTTCAGGAACGGGCTGAAGGAGACCAAGGCTGCCAGGGACCAGCTGGCCACCCACCTAGCCAAAGTGAGCGCCCTGGAGGGGGGCCGCCGGGCCGGGCTGCCGGCCTCTGGGCTTGTGCTCGCGGGCTGACCAGGAGGGAGGTGTGCTCACAGCTCCCCGTCTTTGCAGCAGGGCGTGGGCTTTTGGGGACCGGAGGGGACTTGGCCCCCACTTTGGGCCTCAGTTCCTCCTGCGTGAGATGTGGCTGCAGGCTGGAGGGTGTTGACCACCTTTGTGACTCTGACATTTCCCTGAGTCAGTTTCCGCACACCCCGCGGCCAGCCCAGGATTCTGGCTCCTTGTGCCTCTCCATTCCCCGGGACATGCTGGTAAACCAGCACTCAGGAAACAATTCAAAACGCAAGGCTCTGATTTTTTGCATTTGCAGGTTTCTGTGGTGGAAATATGTCCACCAAAGTCAGTTTCAAGCTGCCTATTTAACAGTGAGCTGGCAAGGTTCCTGAATAGTGAGTGATCGGAGCCCCGTGAGGCAGCACCCCTGGGTCCTGAGCATAGGTGGTGGGTCTGGAAGGAGATATGTGGGCAGGAAGGGCGGGCAAGCTCCCACGCACATTGGGGGTGGCCGGGTAGCCCTGCCCCAGAGGATCGGACGCAGCCCCATGTGCCATTCACCATCTCTAGCAGCCCTTCCCAAAAGGTGGAAAGTCACATGTTTTATTTGACCCAACACATCAAGAATATTGCTTTAGCTTGTTATCAGTGTACATAATTAGTGACGTAGTTTACATTCTTTTTTTTAAAACCAAGTCTTCAAAACCCGACGTGTATTTTGCACTCCAGCCCATCTGGTTTGGGGCTAGGCTTGCAGGTGCTGGCGCAGCCCCGGGGATGGGACCCTCTTCCTCAGCTGGGGGAGGGCCCCAGAGAAGTTTCCTGGCAGGCGTGGGCTAGAGACAGTGGCCCCAAAACCCACGCGCCAGAGGAGCTAGCCCACATTTAATCTGCAATCGTCCTCATACTGAGAAGAGTCGTGGCTGAAGAGACCAAATGGGGAAATCAGTCAGGGTCCCGTCAAGGTGAAGATAGGACTTAACATGGGGACTCTTCCCTCTCTTACGGGCCAATTGGCCAATGGAGAGTGGCACTGCCCGGATGGGTGGCCTTGCTCTGTGAGCAGCTGGGTCAGGGAGCATGTGGGGACCCCGTCCTGGTTCTAGAGAAAAGCCTCTCTCTGGTCAACCTGTGGCCAGAAGAGACAGGAGGCTGAGAAGACCAGCCCCCAAGGCAACGGTGGGGTGACCCCGTTTCGTCTTTGGAGGCACATTTGTTTCCTTACTGGGCATATTTTAGCCCCAGCAAGATTTAAAATTAAGAAAAGGAATGTTTAATCTAACCCAGGGTTTAGGTTATCTTAAGGGGACAGCACACTTTCTCTATAAAGGGTCAGATAGCAACTATTTAGGCTTTGTGGGCCAATAGGCCAAATCAAGGAATTCTATATGGGATTTATAGAATAAGGAAGAAAACAAACATCCACAAACATCTCATTGCCAACCCTGAAGATAAAATAATAATGATTGAGTCTAGTTTTTTGGAATACAGGCTTACTGAATAAAAGGAAGTAATTCTCTTTGGAGGAGCACAAATATCTTGCTTTGTTGGGGTTCACAGTTAGCGTTTTCCATCAAAATCTATGGGAAATGTGAAGCCTGATCTGTAATGAGACTTCTACCCATTTCATCTTTGAACACGTCTTTTCGTTCAGACCAGCTCTGCCCAAGAAGAGCAGTATGTAAGCATAGGATTTAAGGGGCGGACCCGTCGCTTAGGACTCTACTAAAGCCACTCAGTTTTTGATCATAGTGGCTGAAGATGGTCCTTGTTCAGAGGAATTTCAGTCTTGGCCCTGAGGTAATTAAAATAGATTACAGGAAAATTTCACCACCGCTGAAACCCTGAACTGCTGAGTAGTTGGGAAAGTCAGCTTCTGTTTCTGACAAAACGTCATGGAACTTACAATGGTCAAATCCATGGGAGCTCACGGAGTGTACTGTTGGCGCTCCTGGTTCCGTAACACGACAGATGCAGATGTTTTCTGCAAAGTGCTTTGTGAGGAATAGCACAGCAGACACCCAGAAGCTCCACGTGGCTTGTGTTTCCACAAGCTCTGTCAACAGGGTCCCCACGTCTTAGCAGATTCTGCTTCAGATTGCACTGAATTCGTGTTTTCTCAGCTTTTTGAAAATACCCTCACCAGCGGTTTTAATGTGACCACTCAAGAGGCTGAATCTTTAGTTGCTGCAAACAGCATGGGCTCCTGCATAAAGCACAGCTGAGCAGTATCAGGTCCCTGCCCGCTCATGAAGAGCCAGGAAACTCGTGCACAATCCCGTGCCACATTTCTTATTGACTACTGATGTTCCAACATCCTTAACTCCCCAAGCGGCTCTTCCTGCAGAAAGACTAAAGTCTTCAACAGGATGATACTCTCTGGACACCCTCCCTCAGCTGCCACCATCGATCCCAACTGAACAAACTCACTGTCAGGTGGGTTGTCCTTGCTTGGCAGACGGAACAGCCACTTGGAGTCTTACTTTGGGCCTCATTTTCGTTTTTGTGAAGAAATTCTGCAGTGAGGAGATACTGTGTTTTAGATGTCTTATGTTTCGAGGCACCTGGGTTGCTCGGTCAGTTGAGCATCTGTCTTTAGCTCAGGTCATGATCCCGGGGTCCTGGGACCGAGTCCTACATCAGTCTCCTTCCTCTGTTGGGAGCCTGCTTCTCCCTCTCCCTCTGCTGCTCCCCCTGCTTGTGCTCTCTCTGTCATTCTCTCTCTCTCAAATAAATAAAATCCTTTTAAGAACCCCAAACAATAAGAAAACAAGCCAATTAAAAAATAGCAAAAGATCTGAACAGACACGTCACCAAAGGAGATGTGCCGATGGTGAATAAGCTCGGATGTCACCAGGGACTCGCACATTCAAACAAGGCGATACCCCCGCCCGCCTACAGCAAACCCAACACATTGACGGTGCCCGATGCTGGCGAGGACGTGGTGCAGTAGGGGCTCTCGTTCTGGGCGGGTGGGAGCACAGAATGGTGTAGCCACCAGGGAAGGCATCTTGGTGGTCTCTTATGAACATATGCATACGACCCAGCAGTCTCACTCCCGGGTATTTACCCAAAGGTGCCGAACACTCATGTCCACACAAAACCCTGCATGTGAATGGTTATGGTGGCTGTATTCATAATCACCAAAACTTGGAAGCAACCAAGATGTCCTTCAGTAAATGAACGGATGAGGAAACTGTGGTCCATCCAGACAATGGAACGTTATTTAGCAACAAAGAGAAATAAGGCATCAAGCTCCCCAAAAAGATGTGGAGGAGACTTACGTGCAATCGCTAAATGAAAGAAGTCAATCTGAAGCCCGTACCACGTGATCCCACCTATGAGACGTTCTGGAAAAGCCAGTGAGATCCGTGGTTGTCAGGGGAGGGGTTTTAGGGCCGTGAAGCCACTTCGCACGACACTGTGCATGTCCCAAACCTACAGGATGTCCACCACAAGCAGTGAGCCCTGACATTAGCCGTGGACTTTAGTTAATACCGTGTTGGTGTTGGTTCACCTGCTGTAACAAAAGCACCACACTGACCCCAGATGTTAATAACAGAGCAAACCCGCATCCAGGGAGGGAGGGTGCATGACTCTGGATTCGCCGCTCAACTTCGCTGAAACCCTAAAGCTGCTCTGAGAAATAGTCTATTAATGAAGATTTCTTTTTTAATTTCACAATCTGTACAAAAACAGTCAGCAGACTGGATTTGGCCAGACTGCTGATTCCTGAGCTAACCCATAGTAATAGTAATTTTGTTTTAAAGAATCTGTATTTTGGGTATTTTAAGTATTTGTAAAACTTAAGAGAATGTAGGCTGCTTTTAAAAAATTATCACTTAAAATACATAGTTGAGTAATTGACTTCTGCCTATGATTTCAAGTTGGCATTTTGTTAAGTTTAAAGGCAGGGCTGACAGGTTTATGAGAAGCTAAGAGTCATCATTTTCACGGGTTTGTCTGATTGACACCATTTTTTAAGGGCTCCATTGGCTTTGTTAAGACAATGCAAGCAGTTTTGGTTTTTTTTTTACAGATTTGATTTATTGGGGGGGAGGGGCAGAGGGACAAGCAGACTCCCGGCTGAGCGTGGAGCCCACCATCACGTCACGGGGCTCCATCCCAGGACCCTGAGATCATGACCTCAGCTGAAATCAAGAGTCAGATGCTCAACTGACTGAGCCACCCAGGCGCCCCAGGACAATGCAAGCATTTATAAAGAGTTATACATCACGTTTATAAATGCTGCTTAAAATATATGTTTAAAGGATTTTAATTAAGTTTGAAGTGGGAGCAACTGTTAGTCAAAATTAACTTAGAGCGATCATGAACATTTAAGTTTACAAGTAGTATTACATCTGGGAACTGAACGTAAGAAAAGCTTAGGAGAGGGTCCCCTGGGTGGCTCAGGTGGTTAGGTGGCCGACTCTTGATTTCAGCTCCAGTTGCGATCTCAGGGTCGTGGGATCGAGCCCCGAAGAGGGCTCTGCGCTCAGCATGGAGTCTGCTTCTCTCTCTCCCTCTGCCTACCTTCCCTGGTGCTTGCTCTCTCAAATAAATAAAATCTTAAAAAAAGAAAAGCTTATGAAATATTAGAAAACCAAATGCAATGTGTGGGTCTCATTTGGATTCTAATTTGAACAAACCAACTCTTAAAAAAATATATGGGACAATCAGGGAAATTTGAATACTGTAAGATATTACATGATAGTAAAGATTTATTTTTTGGGTGTAATAAAGATACTGTAGTTAGGTTAAAAGAAAAAAGAGACCTATTTTAAAAACACATACTCAACAATTAAAGACTAATGGGATATAATATCTGGGATTTGCTTTGACATAATTGAGCTGATGGGCAGGGTTGGAATGGAGAGAACCGGCTGTGTATTGATCATTGATTGCACTGATGAGGGGCACTCAAAGGTCATTATCCTCTCTACTTCTGTGTGCGTCTGGAAATTTCCATGATGCAAAGTTAAAACTAAAAAAGCTTAAAGAAGAAATTAAATTTTAAGCTAGTTAAATATTAATCTAAAGGCCCAAGTAATTTCTAAGTGATTTTTCCTGTGCACAAAGCCACCATCAGAGAAACCCCAGAAACTGGTTGTATGGTCTCTTCAGGCTTCTAGGGGCAGAACTCGGGCCAGCGGGTCGCTTCCAGGGAGCCCACCCCCCGGGAGGGGACGATGCCACAATGGCCGGTCATGTCCATTCCGCCTGCGAGGTTCCGAGGGCGGGTGCGGCCCCTGGCCCACCAGCAGTCACGGCTGCAGAGGGAGGAGAGGTCAGGCGCGTTGTGGGGTCCTGCTGGGGATCACCACAGATCAGAGCGTGAGCACCACCAGCCTTCACTTCCTCCAACCCTTCTGCAAGGTCATGGAGGAGATTGCTTGCCAGGAGAAGAACATCGCTGTTCTGGAAAAGGCCATCCTTGACCAAGAAGGTCCCGCCAAGGTGGTTCACACACGCCTGGAGACCAGAACACGCCGGCCTAACGTGGAGCTGTGCCGCGACGTGGTGCAGTACCGGCTGCTCAAGGAGGTCGGGGAGATTGCCCACAACGTGGCCAGGTAGGTGGGCAGCGTGTGCGTGGGGGAGCCTGCTGGGTGCTTGGGTCTCTCCCCAGGGCAGCCTTCACTAAAGGCAGCCACACCGAAAACCCGTGCTGACGTTTACATTTTTCTAGAGCCCCAACCCAGATGTTTAGGTCAAAGTTGGCGTTTTAAATGTTGGTGGTTCTCTGGGTTTTCTGCCCGGGGCCACTGATTTGAAGTCTCCGTCTGGAGGGGAGGGAGGGGGCACGTGTCCTTTGGCTTCCCCTGGAGAGAGCAACGCAGAGAGGAGTCACGGTGCTGTGCCCCCTCTCCGCCAGACTGAAGGAAGCCTTAGCCTGGGCTCAGGTGGAGCTGAAGGGCCTGAATCGCAGGCAGCTGATCCTGCAGGAGGAGATCCAGGTCAAGGAGAACACCATCTACATCGACGAGGTGCTGTGCCTGCCCATGAGGAAGTCCATCCCCCTGCGGGACGGGGGCGGCCAGGGCGAGTGGGCCGGGGGCCTCTGCCCTGACGCTGTCTGCTGACAGCACCCGTGGGGCAGACGCTGAGTAAACCGTGTCACAATCGGGCGCAGAACTCTCATTTCAGGGAGGCCGACTGCAGGCAGGGCCTGGAACCCCGGGTGGGGCTTGGGGGTTGGGGAGGATGGCTCCGTGCTGCTGGTGGGCAGTGCTGGCTTGAGTTACATCCCCGCGTACCCCTGCGTCTGTCCGCGCAGGCCATTCCTCCACATGACGGACTGGCGGCCAGGGGGGCCGTCCAGGACCCTTCCTTCCTTCACATTCCGCCGAGCACGGGTCTGGTTCCCCTCTGGAGACTCGCCCGTCTTCCTCGTCACAGGCACCAGATACCCCTTGGCTCTCCTGATTCCTCTTCCCTGGGAGACCATGTGGGCGCTGCTGACTCAGACCCCCCTTCAAGTCTTACAGAGAGCAGATGGGAGCCCTGACGCCAGAGCCCCCAAGAGCCTGCCCGGCACCTGCAGGCGTCTCTGGGCCCCTTTCTGCTGGGAGACGTGAAGGGGACACACGGGGCCAGAGGGCCGTCCAGCCCCCAGGAAGTCAGCCGAGTGGTGGGGCCTGAGGAGCGGGTGGGCCAGGAGGCTGCAGTCTGGGGTCATGGGGTACGGGGGGGCAGGGACGCTCACGGTTCACCGGTTGGCAGGGGCACCGTGGGCCCGTGTCGGCTGCAGGGTGGGGGCTGCTCAGGGCAGGTGGGTCCCGGCGGCTGCCACGGAGGGAGACAGGGAGGTGCCTCCTTTAGCACCAGGAGGGCATGAGGAGGATTTCGGCTATTGTTTTCCCTCCTGAGTGTAAACAGAGAGGTGTTGGTCTCCAGATCGATTAATAATCACTGGGACTATTTTTCTTTCTCCATTCTCAAGTAACAGTAAAGCCAAAGAGAAAAACATCCTCCCATTCCTGCCGCAGATTCAAGTCAGTGGCTGGACTGTAGGTTCTGGAGACAGAGCTGGGTTGAGGTTCCCGTCACACCCAGCCCGTGGGGCTCTGTGGGGCTGAGCGAGCCGTGGGCACAGTCCCCACCCTGTACCCGCGTCATTTCTGCGAAGCAGTAGCCGCAGCTGGGGCTGCATTTCGCGTCCACGTCCAACAGTCAGGGTGGTTCTGCACCTCCCACAGCCTCCCGCACAGCCGCTGTCCCAGGGAGGCCCATGGCCGTGCCCTCACTCCTCCTGACATCCAAGGGGCACCTTCCACGGGCCCTCCTGTGGAGCCGCTGCAGCACTCTGTGCTAACATTCGGCTCCCCTGTGCTTAGGGGTGACCCACGCCTGGGGTTGGCCAAGCTCCTCCCACTCCTAGGGTCACCTGTAAAGGGACAATTGGCCGGATGGCCCAGACCCCTTCCCATCTTTGACGGTCTCTGTGTCTGGCCGCCCAGCTCCACTCGTGGTGTCTTGAGGCACAGACAGTCTCAGACATGGGCCCCACTCCCAGGAGGTTTACTGTCTAAGTCCAGAGGAGTCTGTGCTGTCAGCAAGGGGTGCCCCTAACCTGGGGTGGAGAGGCCCTCTCCGAGGCTGAGGGCATCAGCTTCATGCCAAGCTGTGCTGCCCACCCAGGGGCTGAGCGTCACCTCCCCGGTGCTGAGCGTCACCTCCAGGTGCCGGGCGTCACCTCCCCGGTGCCGAGCGTCACCTCCTGGGTGCTGAGTGTCACCTCCCGGGTGCTGAGCGTTACCTCCCCGGTGCTGAGTGTCACCTCTGGGTGCTGAGCAAATATGCAGCCCTCTCGGGCCGATGACCTGGGGACGTTGCTGGGTGCTCTTCTGCTCTAGCTTGGAGGGGTCCCAGTGCCCCTCCCCAGCTTAGAAGACAGATCCGAGTTTGTGCTGATTATGGGATTGTGCAGGATTATGGGGCCTGTCCCTGGGGATGAGGCCAGCAGGGGGTGAGGACTCTGTGGGAAACCTTTCTTGTGGACACAGCTCTGGGGGGGCTCAGTGGCTCCCCCTGGTTCGGATCTGCCTGGGATGTGGCCCTGACAGTTTCGTCCACCTCCCAGAGCTTCAGTTGCCCCACTGGCAAGACAAATGAAGCCTGGCTAGTAAGCCTGTGGTCTGAGGGGACACAGTAGGCTTGGCCACATCAGTTGTGCGTGGTGTCCGTGACATTGGGGCGTGTCTTGTTGCTTAAGGAAGGACAAGTCTTATTGCTCGTAAGATGGGCCAAGACAAAATAGGACTTTGAAATAACGAGTTGCTGCAAACAAAGGTGGAATCACACCTCGACAAAGTCTTCAGTCACTCAACGAACAGCGAGTGGGTGGGTTTGGGCCCAGGCTGGGTTTTTTCCAACCTGTACTTTGCCAAATGTGGAGGAATGCGAACCAGATTAATTATCCAAGCACCACCCAGGGAAGCCGGGCAGATTTCTCACACCGCAATGCTCGGCCAGTGAGCGGAAGTTTCCGTGAGCGCCCTCTCTGGGGGGTGTCTGGGCGGGAGGCAGGAAGGGGGAGGCACCCACCAAGAGGAGTGTTTGTGTTCATGAAAGATTGTTTCTATCAGGTTACACTGGGTGACATTTTTTCTGGGACAGTGACATCTGTCTTTCTAACAAGGTCATAAAGGTTGTATTCCTATCTGTTTTACTCAGAAAGCTTGGTTCTTGAGAACTCCATCTCACACCGCAGCATTTCTAAGCTAAACATAGTAAACGGAGGTTTTCACGATTCTTCCGAGCGCTCTTGCGCTTCACACAGGTTGCAGATCCGACTCCAAATCTCCTTGCCGTGGGAGGCGGTCAGCGGTCATTAAGAGAATGGCCGTGGACTCGGGGTGGCTTTGACAACGATTCTCGCACTTCCTGAGCGACTGACCTTGGGCGGGTTCGCCTTGCTAAGCCCCGTTTTCTTAGCTCTGAAAGAGGGGGGACAGTCTCCACCTGCCAGAGCCATTGTGGGGGGTTCAGGGAGGCTGTGCCCCACACCCCGCACGCACGGAGCGTGCCACAGAGCGCTGGGGCGGGAGGGAGAGTCCCGGTGCTGAAACAGGGAACTGCGTGACCCCTGGAAAGCCGCCCCCTTTTCTGAGGCTGTTTCCTCATTAAACACCACGAAAGCCACCATCTGTGGAACACCCAGGGGCAGGCTTATGCACGGAGGAACACGTATTAAATCACCATTCCCCGAGGCAGACTCCGTGGGGCGTGCGGTCCCTTCTCCACGTGCAACAGAGAAGCTGGCCCCCAGGGAGGCCGATACGCACCCAAGGCACGAATGTGGCCGTTGACACTTAGGTTCAGTGTCCGGGACCCCATCCCAGCTTTATTTGTGTATTAGGGACCTTAGCAACTAAGGCCTGAATGGGGCACAGAACTCGGGGTCACAGCAGTCAGTGTGGTTTCAGGACCCTTCAGCCCGGAGTCGAAGGCCCCTCTCTGAGAGTCTTTTCAAAAACAAGAACTGCCCTTTGGTTGTAACTTTGCCTGTGGGTAATGGTGTAGCACCTCCGGGGACCATGGTCCCCCTTTCCTTACCCGGCTGGAAATTCAGAGGAGGTGGCCCCCATCTGTCCCCAGGGCTGCTTCCCCTCCCCCCAGCAGCCTGGAGGAGACACCAGGGGGGCAGAATGTACATCCTGCTCATCAATGGGGTCAAGATCATGTTGAAGTTCTGCGTGTTTCCCCCCAGAACCTGCTGCTCTTTGCAGACCCACAGCCGGGCGTGGCACGTGGGAAAAGGACGGGCATGAACAGGAGGCTGTGGCCCACGGAGGTCACAAGTCTGTGGCTGTCTCCATCTACCACTGGGTTTACAGGCCTCGTGTGCACGGCTTTTTCCCAGGGGACTCACCTGCGCCGGGTCCTGCTTCCGCTCCCTGGTCGGGGGAGTCTCCGTGTCCTCCAGACCTGTGGTCAAGGGATCCACGGGTCAAACTATTTTAACAACAAGACATTACTTGGGAGACCACCACGCGGGAGTCGGGAGCTCCTTCTGGCTCAGAGCAGGCTGCATGGACAAGCAGGAACGTCCCCGCCTCTTGGAGGACCTGCGGGCACACTGCCACCTGGGCAGGCGGCACCAGCGCCGGGGGGCTCCCGCAGGTCACCAGGGACAGCGGGCGTTTGCCCCCAGCTGTGTGCTGGGAGTGAGGTGGTGAGGGACAACTCTGAGTGCCTGAGGGAGGGTGTGAAAAAGCAGAGCCACAGGACAGAGGAGAGGCCAGCCCTGGGTCGTTGGTAAAGATAGCACTTTAAGGTCCCACCACCAGCGATCCCAGCCTTCCGGGCGTCAGCTGGGGTTGAACTGGCAAAAAGGAGCCTGGAGGAAGGGGGAGGGGTGGGCGCCGGGGCCTCCCTCGCAGCGCACTCGCTACATCATGGGGTACGCGATGACGAAGTAGTTGAGCTCCGCGTCGATGAGCTTTCTGTACTTCCTGTGGATCTCGCGCAGCGTCCTGTCCTCGTCATTGGTCTCGTACCTGTTCGTGTAAATTCTTACCTGCGCCAGCACAGACACACAGCGCACACGGTGGGGCTGCGCCCCGCGGCACCGCGCCCATCCCAGCCCGGGACATGCACGGCTGGCCCAAACCCAGCCGCTGAGGAAGGGAGCTCCAGGTTCCCTCCCGGGAAGCGAGCCCCCAGGGCACACACGAGGGGGATGCGCTACCCCTCCGGCCGCCCGGCCGCCTGCCTGACCCTGATGCCAGACGCACCCCCCCGCCGCCTGCTCTGGGCCCGGGAGCCGGGGGCCCTACCTTGAGAGTGCGCAGGGAACACTGCCCTTCCTCCTGACTCTTCAGGATCCGCTCCACAAACCTGACGTCCAGGAAAGCCCAGATCTTGAAGTAGAACAGCTTCCTACAGGACAAGACCAGGAGGTGCAGCTCCTCGTCCAGGGACTCGTGGTTGTTGTTGAACTCGAACGTCAGTTTCTGGAAAAGCACCAGAGGGGAGACGGGGTGGGCGGAGATGCTGGGACCGGCTGGGTCATTCTGCTGCAGCCCCATGGCCCAGCTGACGGTGGTCCCCAGGCTGCAGGGAAGAGACGGTGACACGTGGGTGACTCCATCCAACTTGGCAAGATGCATCTGGGGTTCAGAGACCACTGCGCTGGTCCCAGCCCTGCCGCCAACTGGCCGGGCACCTGGCCAGCCACCGCCCCTCGAGCCCCCTGCTGGTGGTATTTGTAGCAGCGGATATCCATCCCCCAGCCTTCTGTGCGGCCCTTGGGAGGGACAAAACGATCCTGATTTTATAGATGGGGAAGCTGGTCGGTTAGAGCACAGCCCACCCCTCGGCGCTCCTCAGTGACTCGGTCTGTCTGGTTTGGACTCACTGTTTCCTGTGCTGCTGGGAGGTGGGGGGGCCTGCCGTCCCCCGTGAGGGCCCCTTCTTGCTCAGAGAGGGCACATAGGGGCTTTCCTTGGTTGGCAGCCAGCCAGAGACTCCCTTGTGTTCCACGCAGAGAAGTGAGCTGCCGTCACCCGCCATGATCCTGGGGGGCCTGGGGACGCTGCTCTGTTAGCCCGGTAGCATTTCCCAGAACCTCAGGGTGGACCCAGTGCATGCCGGCCCCGCCGGGAGCCTCTCCCCTGGGGAAGCCGGTGACCTGAGTGGTGGCCGCTCCCCACCAGCCTCCCGGCCCTCAGGCCCCACCCACCTGCAGAGTGTGCCGGAAGGTGGGCAGGAGATCTGTGAGCGTGGGCCTCATCGACCAGTCGGGGTCACTGAAGTAGCAGCTCCTCAGGCTGAGGCTCCGGATCGGGATCTCCTGCAAGAGGATCCGGGCCAGGTGCTCGTACTTCATGACCCGCTCAAAGAAGAAGTTCACCTTGAGGTTGGTGGCGTGCCTGGCCAGCTTGGCCCAGGACATGCCCCAGATGACCTGCCCGTGGGGGTCGTGGACGTGGCATTTGATGTTCATGGTCCAGAGGGTCCCGGCATTGTTCTCACACAGGTTCTCGAGCAGCTCGTCCGAGATGCAGTTGTAATTGAGCGTCAGGGACGCCAGGCTGTGGAATGTGGCCATGGTCCTGTTGAACTGGGCACTGCTGTACACGGCCAGGTGGTGGCTGAAGTAGTCCTCGATGTTGAGCTGCGACACCGTGTTCTCACTCCGCAAGTAGCTCAGGGAGTTGAGCACCACGCAGCCCTGCTCCACGGTCAGCCGGGCCCCCTTCAGGTTCAGGTAGTCCAGGTGCTTGCCCACTTTCTTTAAGAAGAAGCTCAAGCTTTTGATGAAGGAGCTCCGGATGCTGTTCCTCCAGACCAGGCGGTCCAGCTCCAGTTGCTGGACGGACAGAGATTTCAGACGGTTGTTGCTCTTGCCTAGACACGACAGGAGGCCTCGCATGGTGACCTGGAACTTCTTGGTCAGAACGGCGTTGTAAGGGTTCAGAAATTTGATCTCCAGGTGCTCCAGATAACGACCAAACTTCTTGACGTACCAAAGAGCTGACTCGAATTCAGACGCGTGTACCCTGGAGGGCCTCCCGCTGAACGTGATGGTCCTGTATCGCCAGAGGTCAGCCGAGAACATCATCTGGTTCCACTTTCTGCAGACCAGGGCGGCTCTGGACCGGTCCCTGTCTCCCAGCCACCAGAAAACACGACGCAGGCACACATCGGGCAGACTGGCCCAGCAGCTCTGGTCTTGGGGCTGGATCAGTTGGCTGTCTTCATCCATCAAGGAACTGGATGTCCAGAGCAGCTGTGTGGTAGGCAGGGCTTTCAAAAATGAGAAAAGAAAAGCAACCCCTCGTTTTCTGTGGGGAATAGAAAGGAAGAACCATTATTTACCAAACGGAAATTAGACCCAGCCGAATGAACTCGACACTCTGCATGGGTAGCAGGCCCTGGGCCGGCGCAGGCGGGGACAGTCATGGATCTGCCTTGTGGGGGCACATAGGCAAAGACTCGGTCCTTGGGGGTCTCCCGGGGTTGCACCCAGGACTCAGTTACAGCACAGCGGGAGAAGCGAGAAGGCTCGGGCATGATCGCGGTGCAGGGGGCACAAACGGGGGCTGGTTAATTCTGTCTGGGGACGGAGGAAGTAGACGGGGTTGCTCAGAGGAGGTGACACCCGAGTGGGGCTTTGCAGGGTGAGTAGGAGCTGTGAGGCCGACCAGCTTGGCCTGGTGGTGGTAGAGAAGGAACTGAGGCACTGGGCCAGGCAAGGTCAACCTGTCCGGAAGCGATGCCGTCAGTCTTGAGGTACAGAAAGGGCCCTCTAGGGAGGAGGAAGAAGGATGGCCCAGAGCAGAGTTCAGGCTCCGAGCCTGGGGCTAGGGCAGCGGGACTGCAGGAATGGGTGGGTTTGTGGGTTTTTCGCAGGACGATTTGGAAACTGGATAACGAGGCAGGGAGCACTGGAAGGTCTCTGAGCTGGCCTCTCAGAAGAAGAGTGTCTTCTGAGGAAGGGCAACATGACGATGCTTGGGTTTTGCACGTGGTCCCCCTACCAGGCTAGGGAGGCCTTAGCCTTAGCCTTTCTACAGCTATCTGCCGAAGTCTTCGTGACCTTCTGCCTTCAGTGCTTCCCCGGCCTGAAAACTCTCCTTCTTCCCTTTACCACTCCCAAAGGCCCCCCGTCTTCAAGGTGCAAGCCCTACCGCTCCACACGCTTTCAGTGGCTACGTTACCAAGTGGCCCAAGATTATGTAGCGCCTAAAAATGCCGGGCTGGAGGAACTCTGAGAATTGCTTCTTTACAGATGGAAACTGGGACCCAGGGAGGTGAAGGGGCTTGCCTACGGTCACACAGCAGGTTGGTGACAGGTCTCAGGCTGAGGGACACGGTAAGCATAGTTCTCAGTTCAGGACAGACATTTGTGCAAGAGCACTCTTTGGTGCTCTGTGGTTTTACTCCTTTGATGTCCTCGTGCGCACTGCTGTCCTCGTCCACAGTGCTGTCCTTGTCACATGCACCGACCTGTTCCGAGGTGTTGATGTGGGTCTGTGCCTGTGCTTTGCCAGATGTGTGCTTGGTGCTGGTGAGCATCGTCATGTTGCCCTCCATGCCCGCCTCTCTCCTGGCCTCTCTCCCTGTGACGGATCCCCAGACGCCCCCAGCTCCCACCACCGCCACAGCGGCCACGAGCGCCCCCAAGCTCCTGTGTGGTGGTGGGGGGTCCTTCGCGGTCTTCGCTGGTGCCTTGCCCTCATCATCCCACACTTCCCCTCCAGGCCTCCAGCGGCCTCTCCCATCTCCAGATCCAGACAGACTGCCCCGTGGGCTGTGGTGGCGGCCTGCCCCCGTCCAGGTCACGGCGTCCACGGGGGTCCCAGAGCCCCTGCCCGCCCTGCCGCCTTCGCCTTCCCCTCACGCCCGCATCCGTCCCTCAGGGTAATCTTTGTCCCAGCCTGTGTCATCCTTGAGACACTCTTCTTCTGAGCGGCCCTTTCACACGGAGGGAAGGGGTAGGGTGTTGCTTCATCCACAGAAGCTGCTGGCAGCTAGGGGCCCCTCAGCACTTAGCTCGGGGCAAGGTGCTCAAGAAGAGCCAAACCAGTTCCCAAGCTCAACAGAAGCCTTTGCCCGGCAGCCACTGCTCAGAGGAATCATTGGACACGCTAAGCCACAGGGTGGTGTCCGAAGAACGTATTTGGTAGCCTGGGAAAGCAGTGGCAAGCGGTCCACAAGTCCCGGTCCTTACTGGCAACGTCCCCCTCCCCACCTAAACCTCCTGGCCAGCCAGAGGCCCGGGAGCTTAGCAGGTTGGACCCCGGTTCTGTCGGTCGCTATGGATGACCTTAGGCAAGTTAATTTTCCTTGTGCCTCAGACCCCACATCTGCAAACCAGGGATGAAAATGCTGCCCCTCTCAATGTTGGGAGGGTTAAATGAGCCCCATACGTGGAAGGTGCCAGAACAGCGCCTGGCACATAGCAGATGCTGTACCAGGGTTCGCTGCCAGGAGTAAGTTGATGCCAAGGCATTCTGCAGGATCCCTGTATGGGAGGGGTGGGCACACCCAGTTTACAAATGGGGAAACAGAGGAAGCTGAGGAAGGCTCCCAGCAAACGCCCTACTAAGTGCAGAAGTGGGATTCGAACCCACCCCAAGGACTCTCAGGCCGAGTGCTGTCCACCTGCCCCAGAGCTGCCAACCCGGGAAGGAAAGCTAAGGAAGTCCCACCACCCTCGGCCCAGAGGTGCCCGGGGACGCTTGCTTCCAGGAGGAGGCGGAGGGGCCGGTTACCCGCTCGCCGCGCCCCGCTAGCTGCGCCCCGTTTGGGCTGCGGGGACCGCGAGCCGCCCGCCTGCTCCGCCCGCGCCGCCTGCGCTCGGTCGCCGACTCTGCGCCCGCCGGGACGCGCGCCCTCGCGGGGGATGAGCGCCAAGGGCGGCCGCCTTTGTGACGCGCCGCCCTCCGCGGGCCTCCGCTCGTACCACGCGCAGGGCGCCGGGACCCAAACCTGGGGTCGTCAGAGCCGGCGACCGTGCATGGAGAGGGCAGGACCGGCCCGGCGCAGTGTCCCGGAAGGCTTGCGGGCCGGGGCGGAGGGCGGAGGAGCCGAGGTGTTGGGGGACCTGGTTCCGGGCCCCCAGGAGGAAGGGGGGCCGGGGGGGCGGGGGCCCATGAAGGATCCGGGCTCAGGTGTGTGTGCGCGCGCGCGCGCGCACGCGGGTGTCTCGAGATGAGAGGGAGGTTCGGGCATGGCAGGGCGCTGGGGGGTTGGGGTGGGGGGTGACTGGAGTCCCGGATCCGGGTGTCTAGGATCCAGGGGTCCGTGGGGGGGGTCGCTGGGGATGGGGAGGGGTAGGTTCGGGCACCAGAGGGAGTGAGGGTACAGATGACAGGGCGGGGGGGAGCTGGGGAGGGGACGGAGGCCAGGGTCCAGGGCGCTGGGGCTGGGGAGCCAGGAGACCAGGGCGTGGGCAGCGGGGTGTAGGGTCGGGGGGTCTGGAGCGGGGGTCCAGGAGGGCGGGAGGTCTGGCGTGCGGGAGGCCGGGGTGTTCGGGGACCTGGGTGCTGGGGTACTGCGGTTCCGTAGGCAGGGGTGCCTGGGGGCCAGGGGTTCCATGGGGGATCCGGGCACAGGGGCAAGGGAGTCCGAGATGGGGGGGCTGGGCGGGGGGGCCGTTGAGGGGGCTGGGGAGGGTGTTACTGGGGGCCGAGGGTCCAGGGTCCAGGGAGCCAGAGCTGGGGGGGGGCAGAGTTGCGATTCCGGGAAGCCGGGAGATAGGTTTGAGCACCAGGGGGAGCAGGGGGTAGTGTATGATGGGGGGCCAGGGGCCTGGAGTCCGTGGGGCAGGGGAGGCGACTGGGGTCTGGGGTCCAGGGAGCCAGGAGATGGGGAAGGGGGGGCGGGGGCCGAGGCTGCGGCTCAGGGGTCTGGGGGGCTGGAGCGGGGATCTGGGTCCAGGATCCCAGAGGGCCGAGGGTCTGAGGTCAGAGAGTGGGGGGTGGGGCAGGGGGTAGGGGCCTGGGCTGGAGCCAGGGTTCCGCTCGCTCTGGTGGGGCTGGGGACCGCCTTGCCCCCGCCCTTCCCTCTCCTCTCAGGGAAGAGGTTGTGCAGGAGTGTGGGGCACAGGCCCAGGCCCGCTCGGTCCTGGCGCAGCCCCAGGCCTGTGGGAAAGGACGCTTTGCTCTGCCCCAGCTTCCACTTTCCCCAACTCAGATGCGGTCCCCCAGGAAAGCCTTGGCCGACCTGACCTACCTGAGGACAGGGCTTGAGAACTGCCCCACCTTCCCGGCGTCCAGAGGGTGGGGTGCATCTAACACACCCACTCTCCTTGGCTCCCCCTCCCCGGCAGCCCTAATGGGTCTCCCCAAAGGCCAGGCAGAAAGGGGGGTGCACAGTTGTCCTGTGGGGAGGCTGCTTCTGGGGGGCGGGCCCCTCCCCAACAGCTCCAGGGCTCCCTGTGGGCCTGCGGTGCTGCACAGCCCCCCTCTTTCCCCCTCTCCGTTTCTGCCCCTTTCCCTGGGCACTGCCTCGCGTCTGTCCCACCAGCCTCCATCTCTAACTGGGAAAGACCAGTGAGGAATCTAAAGACAGGTGGACAGCCTTCAGGGCGGGCATTTTTATTCCCCGGGGACAAGCCTGGGTCTCCCAAGGTGTCTGTGGGGCCCAGATGTTTGATCCCGATGCCCGACGCCTGGGATTCTCCGGCCGAAGAGCTGGAGCCCTTTCTTCTCCTGGTTTGTCTGTAGCTTTCCGGCATACCTACATCTCTGTTCAAAAGCAGGAAAACAGTTAAAATCCAACCTTTTCTTCTAAAAGGAAGAAACCTAAAGAAGAAATCCCATCTCTTCTCATGAGTAAAGACCGCCACAGAGGGTCTGCAGGAAGATCCGTGTAAAGAGACGTCTTTTCTATCGGTAGTAACGGTCAGTTCCACGTTAGCTGGAGTTTCCCACATGCTTTCCTTTCGGGGAAGCTAGCCACCAGCATCTCTCCTAAAGAAGTGGGTACAGAAAAGTTTGGTGTGTTTAGAGTGGAGGAGACAGTTCCTGGGAGGTCTCCGCATATCGCTGTCCCCAGTTCCCAGAGCACAAGCCAGAGGTGGCATCGATGAGGCATGGGGGGGGGCCTTCTGGGGGCTTGGGACGGTGTTAGAGGCCTGTCTTCATGGGGAGGGGGGCAGATTAGAGGACACCCATGCCATATGCCCTGTTAAAGAGCCACATCATTTGGCTTGGAGACATGTCCCTGGATATTTTGGATCAGAACATTAAGGTACCAAGAAATGTGTATCATCAGACTCCCAATGTGTATGTTTGTGTTTATATAACAGGGCTGTCAGGTGAAATAGGGCATGCCTGGTTAAATTTCACCTTCAGATAAAGATTTTTTTTTTTAGTATAAGTATATCCCATGCAATTATTTTGTTAACTGTTTTTGTCCCAGGTAATGCATTTCTTATTTGCTAAATCTGACAACCTCATTATATAAGGGTGGACAAAAGTATGGAAAGAAGTGACAAATTGTGGATGGCAAGGGTGCATGGCACCAATCCCCCCACCAACGATGAAGTTTGTCCATCTTTGTGAAATGATATGTTCGTGTGCCTTTGGAGACACCTTACAGAAGGTAGAAAAAACGATTTAGGTCTACTCTTTTGTAAGGAATGTGCATCATATATCAAGTGAAAGGGTGAATGGCAGAGTAATGCGTCGATCAGACCACACAGTAAGATACTATGTGGGGAATAAGAAACAATTTGCGCCCCATGTAAACTTGTTCAGGGTTGTGTGAGCAAGGGCTGGGTTGTAAGAGGACACCTACCAGGTTGCTGGTGTTGGTGTGTCAGGGCCCGCGGGCGGCGGTGGGGGAGGATTAGCTTCTATTTCTTTGTATGGTATTCTATCAGCTGACTGCAACAAAATCTAGGACGTTTTTATATTTTGAAAAACAAAAATAATGAATGTTTGGGTTTTTTTTGTTTTTTGAATGAGACATCCAGTGTGGAGCTGATGGGCATAAGCTTTGGAACGATGTCCACGTGGATTTCACGCTGGATTCGGCCACTCTCTCGTTGTGTCCCCCAGGGGGCTCCCGGTCCATGCTGCCTAGTTTCCTCATCTGTGAAACAGGAATAAAATACCCACCTGTTGTTCCTAATGAAGATGAACCATTTATAAAGAACTCCATGTTGTCACTGACACACAACGGTTAAGTACCTCTCGTGCCAATTCTTATGATTACTAGAAAATAATTTAAGGTATAAAAAGGTAGAATATTGAGGGAAAAGGCTATAAACCCTGGTCTGCTGGGGGGCATGCCAACAACAACTCAGGATCAAGACCAAGACTCTTCTGATCGCTGGGTCTCGGTGGCGTTACCTACCATGAGAGAGCGAGCTGGAGGGTCCTGCTAAGTCTGCAGATGGGCCGGGAGCGGCCGCTCTGAGGAGGATGACGGGATGGGACTCCAGCCTCCTGCCAGCCTCTTCAGTTCGGGCACCGAACCAGCCACAAACACCGACATTGTCTCCCAGGGCCCCGGCGTGCACAGCGCCTTTCCCAGCTGCTCGGCTGTACGGGTTAAAGCCCCATTTCGCAGCTACAGAAACCGAGGCACAGAGAGGTTGTGCAATTTGCCCGAGGTTGCACCGTGACTGTCAGAGCTGGTGTTCAAACGAGGCTGATGGGACTCCGGGACCTAGGTGCCTCAGCAAGACACGACCCACCTTATTGGACACGGGGCAGGGGCTCCGGGCCAGGAGAGACCCGGGCTGGCCTCCTGGTTCTTTCCACTTCGGTCGGGGCTGCTCACTCCTGTCTGTCTCCAGGCCACTGTGAAGACTGACAATAATGAAGAAGCTGAGCTTTCCCACGGTCTCAGGTCTCCTGCCAGGACCCCCGGGACAGAGGGGCGGCCAGGAAGGAAAAGGGGGACTTGGGGAGGCCTCCGGAGGGCAAGGGTCAGTGGGGGAGGGCTGACCTGGAAATGACCACGAGCTTTCTCGTCTACATCCCCATTTTCTTCCAGGATGTTCCCTCTTTGCTGACTGTCCTATGTTACGGCTGGTGGAGGACCAACGTCCCTTGTCCCTGCGTGTGGTTAGCTGCTTGTCTGTCTGAGTAAGTGACCGGAGACTCACCGCCTCTTCTGTCGGGCTGCCGACCAGTCCCTTCCGCCAGAGGGACCCACGTGTGGTGCCCGGGAGGCCCTGGAGCCGCCTGGTGGTGGCGGCTGGTCAGGCGTTGGCCGTCCTGAACCGACCTGCAGGGTCCGCGTCCGAGGTCATTAGAGCAGAAGTTAGGAGCCCCTCCCAGAACCCAGCAGCATGGCCTTTGATTTTAAACAAAACTGATAATTCTATCACTAAAGCACAAACGCTTTCATTTTTAAAAAAGTTGGAATATTATGGACAAAGAAGCCAAGTTTCTTTTTGGCCACCGCGCCGGCTCCCGAGCCGTCGCTGTTTTTAGTGTGGAAGCGGGCGCGTTCGGGGGCCCCGGAGCCTGTCCCCATTCCCACCACGACAGGAGACAGAGCTGTGGGCATGATTGCATCGTTCAGCCAGCCGCCCTTGGCTGGTCCCCAACCCTCCCCAGCCCCATCCCATAAAACCCCGGACGAGAAATGCCCCGTGTGAGCTCAGAACTCCTCTCCAGGCCACGGTGGCTACCCGTGGCCGCTGTCCCGCCGGAGGGGTTCTGGGCTGTCACGGGAGCCAGTCCTCAGAGCCTTACCTTTCACCGGGAGGAGGGAAAGGGCCGAGCGCCAACTCTGGGCTGGTCTGCGAACAGGAAGGACAACACAACATGGATGCATGGTTTTGAAAATGAGAGACTGTGTGTGAAAGGTGTCCAAGGTCACGGGAGACGGGAGGGGACACCCC